AAATTTGATTTGTGACATTCGAAAATATTGGAAAAACTTTTCTTCGAATCTTTTTAATTCAGGAAACAAATGATGAAATTCGCCATATTGCTTTCTCTTTTGATTTATAGTGTGAACCCAAAATCTTCTTTTTTTCTTAGCTTCCTTCTCTTCCTCCTCTTCTTCACACAACATGGCTAAAATAATAATTTCTTCCTCTGAACTACTCATTTTCAATACTTTTATGTTGCACGCTCTAGTAGTTGAGCCTTGACAACTGTACTTTTTCCGAAACTCTCGCTTATGCTGCTGGTCTGTGGCGGTAAAGTGTGCGATGTCATGCAGGATGCAGGTTTGTGCTGTGCTGGTCCGTACTGGTCCGTGTAGGTATAGTGTGCGCGATCTTTGACAATTAGGTATTTTGAACTTCTAGTTCAGAAATATTTTAGTACTAGGCAGAATAGCTTTTAGGCATATTAGACTAAAATAAAAACGTGGGGCCCATTAACTATTGCTGTAATACTTTCTTCTATACTAATTGTGGATTGCATCGACTTACTATAATCGTAACTGGAGATTTTGACAATCAATAACCAGCCGTGGCGGCTTCACCAGCGAACGCCGAGCTCATGATCTACCAAAGTATAAAGATAATATATGCTTTGCCATAGGTAGGATTTCAGAGGGGCTCCACGTTTTTATTTCAGTCTAATATGCCTAAAAGCTATTCTGCCTAGTACTAAAATATTTCTGAACTAGAAGTTCAAAATACCTAATTGTTATTAATTTTTTCCAGTTTTCAGTGCACATAAGATAAAACCGATTAACTTAAAAGTTTTTTACCGATTTTTTATTTTCTAGTTTTTAGTATTTAACGGAAATGCCTACCGAATATTCCTTTTTCTATTTAATTCATTTAGTGCACCATTATTATTTTTATCTGTCCTTCTAACGTCACACAATCTTGGACACAACTGTTCTGGACACGACTACTCATGCCCTCACCTAATACGCCATTTTGTAACGACGCCCATCTTGGATTTTAAATTTTGTCATAATCACAGTATTCTACTAGTGTAGCCCTTTCATTTGATACCCATATTGAGGGGGTTGTGGAAAAATATGAAATCCGCCATTTTGTACCGGCGGCCATCTTAGATTTACAATGTTATTGATATTACTATATTTTATTGTCATCGGAACTAAAGGTGTGTACCAAATTTCAGATCAATCTGACAACAGGAAGGTACTTAAATTTCAATTTCTAATTTTGACCCAAACAAATAAATAATAAATACCGTACGGGTCGAGCTAAATAAAACCGTTTAAAAAGCAGCCAACATAAAAGCATCGACTTTTGGCAAGTTATCTTATTGTGCTTTTACAAACCCGGAATCTGCCATTACTTAAAAAATTCTCAGAACACACAAGACATACAAATAATAACTGCACAAAAAAGCATAAAAAGCTCCTTCAACCAACGCTAAAAGATAAATAAACGGAACACGTCTGGCTGCTGCTGGCCATCGCGCGTCGACGAGAACGGCGGGTGACGTCAGACCAATAGAATATCGTTTCAATTCGCGAGGCGTCGTTTGCGTTATCCATAGTATTTTAATGGCCCGTTTTATAAAATTGTGGTACTGCTTTCAAGAAAAAAGTTTTTTTTTGCATTTACACATATTTATTCTAATAAATTGAACAGTTTCTGACGAAAAATAAAATATATGCATCTTCCTCATTCTTTGAGAATTCATAAGTACTAGCTAAAACTGTAATAGCATTTTACAAACCATAATAAATATTTTTTTCTTAAAAACAGTAGAACTAAATAGAATAAATTACATATCTATATAATTTTATTGTGGTATTTATAACTTTCAAGGTTTACTATTGAAGTTGTAAAGAGGAAAACTTTTATTTTCGACGTCCTTAAAAGAATTTTTAGCATTTCTTTTTAAATTTCCATACAACTAAATAAGTACTTATAAACAATTACAGTTATTAAATAAAACAGTGCAAAATGCTAGAATAAATTGCATCACTATACCTATAACTTTGTTTAATATTCGCACCTTTCAAGGCTTCTGATTAAATTCAAAAGGAAGAGAACTTTTATTTTCGATGACCTTAAAACAAAGTGGCTCAGCTCGGATTATCAGGTGAGTCTGTTACGTCATTTCGGTCAAAAGCAGCACTTTCTTCTTGGTTTTGGTACTCGACCGAACCGACCGCTGATGAAAATTTCACATGTGTGTTTCCTTACATAATTTATTACAAGAATCCGAATGTTTGTGTTTGCTCTTTACATCACAAACCTGTCTTTTATAACATACAAACATATTTTAGGCACTGTTGCACTGTTGCTGTGTTCATTTTTTTTAATACAATTGCTGGAAGAAAAAAAAATGGACATATCAATCTTTTTTCTACTTGTGCATCAGGCTCCTATTATGTATTACATGAAGATATACAGGTTGGTCCAAAAGTATCCGGGAAGCTTTGGCAGTCTATTCTGCAGATAAAAATAAGTAAAATAGTTCGTATAAATTTATTTCCTACAATGCTTCGTTCGAATTATTTCTGATATTTAGATGAAAATTGGTGTCTAGGTCGTCTAGGTGTCTTATCACATGAAAATTTTGATTTCGATGATGCCTCTTACTTGCGGGCTGCGCCACCTACAAATTTTTCAACTGGTTTGAAGAATAATAACTTTTTGTTTGTAAATGTATAAAACTACTGACTGAAAAGATATACATATAGCTTCAGTTTTTTACGCAAAAAAGGTCTCGTGGTAAAAATCCCTGTTACATGTCTACTGTATAGTTATTTGACTGAATGGTAAATCTATGAATTTTTGTTTTTTTAAATTAATAATAATTTTCTTCTAGAAGAAATTATGATAAAACAGTTTCTGATAAACCTTTGACACAAAACCATTTCAAATTTTTGATTTCAGTCTACAGTATGTCCCCGGATTGTCTTTACAAGAGGAAAAACTTTTTTATTATTGACATTTTGAGAAAAATGCATTCTACATAAAAAAATTGATTCTTCTAATATGGTTTAGGAGAAACCGGGGGAATCCCGCGCACGGGGGAATTCCGCGCACGCCGCTGTAGAAAAAACTACAACATAGTAATACACAGCTGTGAGACTGGAAGTGTTGCATAAGCCATATGAAGTTTGCTCCAAAAGTTTGGAATAATTGCCGGCAGTCGTTAACCAATAACGAACATTTTAGTGCTAGATGGGGTTTTCATCTATCTTTTCGGCAATTTAATCGGTTGATAGTTAGTAGTTCTTGTGATTATTAAAAGCAGCTTGATTTTATTTCCACTTACCAGTGCACCTATAAGTGTTATCGCAAGCGATCACCAATAAAATGTAAGTAATTTTGCTAAAATAAATTTTTAGGTAAAAAAACGGTTCCCGGGGAAATACCGCGCAAAAACAACCAAACCAAAACAAACAATAACGCGCTGCGCGGTATTACCCCAAATGTACACTCTTCTTGTTTTATTTTTTTATAGCTTGTTTCTTTTAGTTTATGATGCCCAGAACATACCAAAGGGCATCAGAGAAAAACAAATGGTCAGCGGATGCACTTAAATCAGAATTGGAAACTATGGAAGAAAAAAGAAGAGAGAAAAGAGAAAAAAAGAAGCAAGTAATATAAATATAAAGGAAAAGAGAAGAGACAAAAGGCAGAAAAGAGAAGCAAATATTGTATTGAAAAAAAGTAAACTCTCAACAACTTTAGAAAGTAAAAAAAAATCAACAAGAAGCCAAAGCACATTCGTAATATTAAGTTTGATGACGATGATACTGAACCTGAGAGTTATTCTGAAAGCGAGCTTTGTGTTGATGATGACTTCGACGAAGTTGATCCTTTCCCAACCCGTGAAGATGACATCTGTTTAATTTGTGGAGAGTTTGGAAGGGACAACGAGGTCTGGTATCACTGTAATTCCTACTCAAAGTGGGCCCATGCTGCTTGTAGTGGAAAGGAGAAAGGAAAAATCTACCTTTGTGACTACTGTTGCTAGGTAACAGTTTATTTTTTATATAAATATCTGTGTTAGAATGTGTTGTTATGTTAATATACAATAATGTATCTTTACTTTTGTTCTCACTATCATCTTTTTTATTATTTGTGTTATACCTGTATTTTATGTACAATAAAGTCTTGTTAAACTGCCTTAAAATACCTCAATGCGTGCTATTCCCCGAGACCATGCGCGGTATTACCCAAAAGCCCGGGTAATACCGCGCAGTCACACATTTTTAGTTTTTTGTGTTAATAGGTACAACAAAACAAAAATGTTTAATTTTCGATGTTGCAATAGTTTGTATATTGTATCAATACTCCTGATACAAAAAATTACCTCATAAAAAAAAGTAACATCAATCTAGCAACTATTTTGCTTATGTGCGCGGAATTCCCTCGGCTTCCCCTAATCTCGTTCATACTTTTCCAAATTTCCATACCATTTAAGAGAATATTTAAAAAAAAATATGAAAATGTAGTTGCATTTTCTAAAGTCCTAAAGCGTTTCTATGGTACTACAATTTCCTTAATTTTCTCTAAAACGGTATGAAAATTTGGAAAAGTATAAACGGGATTAGGCAATTTTAGAACAAGCAAAAATTTTTATGAAGAATGCATTTTTCTCAAAGTGTCAATAATAAAAAAAGTTTTTTCTCTTGTAAAGACAATCCAGATACATACTGTATATGTATGATGACGACATGTATTGATTACTTAAGGCAATTTTTGAATGTAGTAGACTATGATTCAATAACGAAATCGATACTAAGTGAGTGTTATAAATCAGATCAGTTAATCTGACTAAAACGTTTTGTAATTAAAAAAAAATGACGACAATGGATGTCCGAAATTCTTACGATTTGTGATTTACATTACATATATAGGTACAATGTACAATAAGTATATTTTGAAGAACTCTATTTTTCTAAATAGTAAAGTTGATGTTCTAATATTTTTTTTCTTTCAGTGCGTGACTCCACAGCAAAATCGGTAAACGGGCTCCTGAGAGGAGGCATAGCCCAGTTCGGGCAGTTCGAAGAATGCCTCAGCACTCAAGCGCCTTTTCACACTCAGTACTGCATAGCTACGGTGTCTGCAGACGTACCCGCACCAGAATCACCCAGGGATCCGAAATCTCTGATTTATGATCCCAATGAATCCGTTTTAAGAAAAATCTACGTAAGTATTGTATTTCTGAACTGTAATTATGACTGGACCTTATATGTATGTCATGTGTGAGCTGCGTCTTTAACATTTTGCGCTAGATATGTATATCATGATAGTAAGACCCATGATTACTTATGGAGCAGCACAGCAAGGCAAAACCTCTCAAAAATGCAGAAACTAACATGCATCTGCATTTAAAGGAGCCATGAGGACATGACCAAGAGCAGCAATGGAGGTCAGTGGACCTAACACCACTGCACATTGTCATTGATAGATATGACAATGATTAGAATGGTTATTGACGGAAACATTACTGGGAGAATTGTCAGCTCAGGAGTTTGGAATACTCTCAAAAGGAAATTTCAATTCCTCCAACTCCCAGTGGATGACATATTAAGAGTGTGTGTACAACTTTGAGAAACACCTCACTGTAATATTGAGCAATAAAATAATTAAAAGAGAAAAATGTTTTCTCAGCAGTTAAAAGGCCATATAATAACTTGGTTACAACAGATTATTACAAAACCAAGTCAGGAAGGTAGGAGTATTTGGGCTGAAAACTAAATACTCCATACCCCAATGGGCACCTACCGCAATATCCTTCAGGAAATCTACGCTACCTAAAGATTGTACCAACTTGTAGGAACTATGCGTACAATGCTTAGGAACAATCGGAAAAAAGATATAGCCATTTTAACCGATAGTCAATAGTCAAGCAACCTTACGAGCGATCAACTCAGTAACCATCAATTCGAAGTTGGTCAAAGAATGCCTAGATAAACTGAATCAAATCCTACTATGAGGGCCAGCTCATTAAGGAATAGAAGGTAACGAAAAAGCAAATGATCTAGCTAGAAAAGGAGCGAACATTCCACTAACTAGACCAGAACATATGTCACCCGACATCCACTGATATCAGTCGTACCATAAACTTTGGTACAACTGAAAAACCGGATACTGACTTCTGTCAAAACCCTGAGACTGTGTGATGAGTTATTAACTCAAGAAAGGAGGACAGAATAGATCTCGCGGTTCATAACTTTACCTATATATTCTACAATCTACATGTCATGTCCTCCAATTTTTCAATTTTATGTTCAGTATTCTTATATAAGCACGGCTTGATAAAAGTGTTTTAGTTTATTTTATGGGATAAAAATATCCTATCTGAAAATGTCTTCAACGTCCACTAGGGATAGTACAGTTTTACCTGTAATTTGACTCAGTAATTCAAACTTGATTATGATTTCAGCTGGGTAGTGAGGAATATACTCCTTGTATATTCTTGAGGGACTTGTCTATACAGTATGTCTCCGTATTGTCTTTACAAGAGGAAAAACTTTTTTATTATTAACATTTTGAGAAAAATGCCTTTTTCATAAAACTTTTTGCTTGTTCTAAAATGGTTTAATCCCGTTTATACTTTTCCAAATTTCCATACCGTTTTAGAGAAAAAATTACAAAAAACATGAATCAAGTCCTAAAAATCAAAAGGAGTTTCAATGGTAATCAGAGTGGTAATACAATTTCGATTTCATTCATTGATAGATGGCTATTATTTATTTTGATTGATATCATATTTTTACTGTAGTATCACATTTTCCGATAACAATAATTATTATTATAATTTATAACTATTGATGTCGGCCTAACCTGGCCCCGCCCCCATTCGAGAACGAATGGAATGGCTAGACACAAATAGAAAAATCTAGACTGTTTATTGTCTGTTTCTCTCATACTTAAACCCTTAGCTTAAACCGACGCCGACGCTTGGGGCCTGGGGAAAACAAACAGATCGGTCGACGCGTACAATTGCCGCGCTAAATTCAAGATAAATTTTATTTTTTAGATAAATAGTTGTAAATAAGTTATAAAAAGTTCTTTAAGTAGTTTTATCGTTATTGTATTGTTACTTAGTGTAAAATAAATTATGTTAAATAAATTAGACTTTCTATCCACACGGAACCGATGAAAAACGTTAGGCTATTATTAGCATTAACTCTATGATTGAACTTAATAAATTTTGTGCTTGTTTAACATTTTAAAACAGCAACAAATATGACATTAATTAAAATTCTATCAATAACAATCTATCAAAGAATGAAATCGAAATTGTATTACCATAGAAACGCCTTTTAATTTTTAGGACTAAAAATTCAAGCTTATTTTCATGTTTTTTTTTGTAATTTTCTCTAAAACGGTATGGAAATTTGGAAAAGTATAAACGGGATTAACCATTTTAGAATATAGAAAGAGAATAGAAATAAGTAATAAAAAACTTTTAGAAACGAAAAACTTTTATTATTAACATTTTGAGAAAAATTAAATAATCTGTCTATGTTTATAAGCCCTGGGTCATAATTTCTGAATTGTTTTATCGTACTTCAAAGACGCTTTGTAAATTAATTTCTTATTACAATAAAAGAATTTCACAAAGTTGTTTGTTATTGGCCATTTCTTCCAACAAATTATATTGTTCAGTGAATGAATCAGTAAGCGGAATAACAACAATATATCCACGAAAGGCCATAAAAAGATGAGTTTACGTTACTCAGAAAACACTTTGTAAATGATCTACTTCTTTAATACAATAAAAGTGTTACTCAGAATCATTTGTTATTGGCCAATTTTGACAATAACCATATTGTTCAGAGAATGAATCAATAAGCGGAATAACAACAATATATCTACGAAAGACAATAAAGACGAGCTTACGTTACAGGTTACGTCACAGCTAAAGTATTATAAAGCTGAAGAAAGGGGAACAGCACGAGAAAGGACGTGTTGGGTGACCAGGTTATTAAACTCGATTGTAGGTCAGTTGTTCAACTTTTACTTTCAATGTCACTCTACGAGGTCCTGTCTGAAAATTGTTTACATGCACGTGTTACGGCACCTCTGATATTTTTACAAATTTCTGTGAAAAATCTAGAGCTTTAGTCCAGGAAATTGCAAGTTATCGTAAACATACTTACAATTACAAGGTCTTTATTTATTTCAATAAATTATTGCTGTATGGTAAATAGATTCAAAGTTCTAGTGCTGGAATTTGCAAATTGCTTTACTTAATAACTAAACAAGGTTTTTCCTGAAATGTTAGTTACATAAGCTACCAGTTGAATTAGCTTCTAGACTGTTGCTTGTACATCAGAGATAGTTCGAGATTAAATAAATTAGAATTCCTATTTTAAAAAAAAAAAATATTTATGCAAGCTGGTATTGTAGCCAGCTGGTCAGGGAATAATGTGCTCTATAGTTTCTACACTTTCCAATCAGAGTCTACATGTGTAATGTAAAGTTACTTGTTTATACAGCGGCATCACACGCGCTATTTCTATCAGCATTAATGAGACTTTTGTTTCTTAGTTTCCATTATCGTTAGATGTTTTTGGTGTGGTTAATTGATCCATTCTGAAACTGCCTAAGCAAGAATATCATGAACCATCATGTGAACCATCGGTTGATTCTCACTATACTTTCCGTTTCCATTCCTTATCCATTGATATTCGTGTCGTATTTTTGATTATATTCACGCTATACGTATGCTTCCTTTCTGTATCAGTTCCATACTTTTTATTGCACAATTTATATTACGAAAATTTAATTTTAAAAATCTGTATCTCCTTAAAAAGGTAATAGATTTAATTAAGAGTTAATAATAAATAAAAATCAGCAAAATGTTTACAGAGCTGGTATAAATGTAAGAACTTGACAACCCTCTTTCAGATACGCTTCAACCCTTCCGCCAAAAAAATGTATGGAAGGAAAGGATATGGAACGGAAGGGAAACGGAACGGATAGTGTGCATTGTCCTATTCATTTACATGATATAATATTTTATGTAAACGGAAGAAAAACGGAAGGTATAGTGAGAATCAATCCTTTATCCGATAGTCAAGCAGCCTTAAAAAGTGTCAACTCAGTAACCATCAATTCGAAGTTGGTCAAAGAATGCCTAGAGAAGCTGAAGAAATTAAGCAAAGAAAATAAAGTACTCATACTCTGAGTGCCAGCCCACCAAGGGAAACAAGGTAATGAAAAAGCGAATGCTTTAGCTAGAAAAGGACCCAGAATACTCGACTCACTGGATCAGAACCGTTTTGCTTCCCAAGCGTAGACCAACTTCAAGTAGAACTCAATAACCTGGACGACTCCATTCATAACCTGGTCCTCCAGCGGTCTAAGACACTCGAAGACATTTCCCAGGACTTTTTTCCCCAACCAAAAGAAAATCAGAGATTATTAATTACTTACGACAATTATTAAGGGGTTTTTAACGGGATACCTCAATGAACACCTCAGTAGATTGAAGCTAAGAAAAGACGGCGACTGCACATTGTGTGGGGAGGATAGGGAAACACCTGAACACATCATAACATAAATTCTGGTACGACTGATATCGAAGATGGAGAACTAAGAACTAACTTCTGTAAAATCGTCTCAGATACTGGCTTTTGTCAAAGCCCTAAGACTGTATGATGAATGATGAGTTATAACTCAAGAAAGATAGATATATATTATTGTTATTTCTAGAAACACTAATTGGTTGTTAGAAATAAAAATATCTTTGCTATCAATAAAAAATTCGTTTTCTATTATAGTGTAAACTAATATAGTTTATACCACCTATATAGAAAATATTTCCTAATAAAGGTTTAAAAAACTAATTAGAACTAATATAGACATTATGAACTACAGTTCCGGTGACTTAACGTCAAAAGCTATCTAAGCGTGATTTATTTTTTGAGGAGGAGGGGAAACATCTTGCATAATGCGACACTCTGTTGGGTAGTGTCGGATTTCTACCGACTAAAAAAACCCTCCTGGCATTCCAACGCTCTACCCAGCTGGAAACCGCTTGCGCATTACTTCAGCTGGATTTGATAGATTAGATACTTCGATATGGCGCCGCATTCTATTCTCTTTGGTCTGCACTATTTCTCCGAATGCATTTATATGTAATTTTCCCCGATTTTCACTACTTAGCATCATATTGTTGGCATTAAAAACTT